TTTGCATGGATTGGGATATATCCATAGAGACCTCAAACCCGACAATATATTAATTTCTGATAATAGACAGAGCGGAAGATTTTTAAAGTTATGTGATTTCGGTTTAGTTACAAAACACGATAATAGTTTTCATCTTATAACTGCTTACAAACACACGGCAGACGTGGGAACCATGAAATATATCGCATATGAAGTAATAAGCGGTAGGAAATACGACCACAAATCCGACATCCATGGCCTGGCAATCATTTGTGGCGATATATTTTGCATTGATGTATTTAGTGATTTAAAAAAGTTAGTTTAAATTAATTATACTTTATGTCTAATGATTTTTAATTTACAATTTATAAAATTTTTAGTAAAACACCATATTCAATAACAAAGCAATGGTTAAATGAACCTGTTAATCAATTAAAGCTAATTATGGAACAAATGATGTCTAGGCGCTGGACTGAAAGGCCTGAATGTTATGATGTTTTGTCTAAATATAACGAGTGGTCTATCGATACGGAGATTTTAAATTATTCAGAATTTGATGACATATTGGATAATATTGACAGAATTGAGACTCAGATTAGGGAACGGGATGTGAGTGTGAGAGACAAACGATTTATTAATGAAACACTCCATACAAATTATTATGGCGTACACAATGGGAAACCATTTTTTCAAGATTATTTGTCGTTTATTTTAAAGTAATATTTTTGTTTATAATTTCATATTATTTATCTATTAGTATACGATAAGTTTTTAATATATTAATCACTGTATTCTGTTTACGTGTTGACTCAAAATTATTTTGGTTTGCAACTTTACGTATAAATTAATTATTCAAAAACTATGTTAAGCTTGTGCTATTTTATGAATTATTGGATTTTATACATTTTAGAAAGCAGCGACATTCATCGACAAACAGACACTTTACTAAACCGTTGTCTCGGAAAGTAGTTTTGCAAGAAATTCACGCTGAATACGACTATTCCTTTAAACTGGTTTTGATCGGAGATTCGGAAGTCGGGAAGTCGTGTCTGATGTTGCGGTTCGCGGACGACAAGTACATCGAGTCCATCAAATCTACCGTTTGCGTCGACTTCAAGAACCGTACCATAGAGTTGGACGGAAAGAGGGTAAGGTTGCAGATCTGGGACACCGCGGGTCACGAGCGTTTCCGCGCCATCACCTCCTCCTACTACAGGGGCGCCCACGGGATCATTGTTGTGTACGACGTGACGAACTTGGAGTCGTTCAAGAATGTGAGGACATGGCTGCGAGAGATCGATCTTTACGCTTGCGATGACGTCAACAAAATTCTCGTCGGAAACAAATGCCATCTCACGACCCAAAAGGTCGTCGATTACGCGACCGCGAATGAGTTCGCCGAGATCCTGGGTTAGTGAAAGGGACAGCTCCTGTTTGTATTTGAGGGCCGTCTGATACCCATACTTATCTCTCCTGATAGGCATCCCGTTTCTGGAGACGTCAGCGAAACAAGCGACGAACGTTGAACAAGCCTTCATCACAATAGCTGTGGACATAAAGGCGCGAATGGGAACCGTATCGAGAGTGGAGCCGATATCGGGTCAGACAATACGCCTGGAAGGGAGTACGACCAGCCCGTCCAAGAGCTCGGGCTGCTGTTCGAAAGACAATTGATTACTAGTATCCAATGCATGAACAAGACTTTATAACGGAATAGCTTAATATATTACTAGTATAGGATGACAAGACATTTATTGTTTATTACTGTTTGCCATCGAAATGGTGGAACAATAAATTTCATGATAATACATTAAATTACATAGTTATAATAAAAGATTTGAACTATCTAGAATACTTTAAATTAGTTTTAACTATTAGTATTTATAAATTACAATATCTGTATTTAATTTAACATTACGTGATAATAAGTTAAAATATAATTAGTATTTCACAGTAGATAATATTTAAACGCAGTGATTTATGTTTTAATATAACAAAAATTTTGTATAATTATTTTTAGTACAGTATAACCTGATCAAGTCATACATTTTAAGGTAATAATGTAGAAACACCTGGTTAATTTTTTTTATTTCCAAGCTAACAATAGCTATTCAAAATAAGACACGATTTTACTGTCTGGCCAGATATCCTAGACAAATATGACCACTAATTAAGCGCACTGTTCATCGGATGTAAGGGATGTCTACAGCCGTAGCACTCCTTTTCAATGCAATCTATTTTCAGACTAATGCTTGTCTCGTCTTCATAACTAAATAAACCTGGTCACCCCAATTTAGTAAATAAGTTAATATTAAAAGGCTAGATTTAATAATTATAAAGTGTTATTATAAACCTAATTATAGTAATTTAATATACAAATTTACATTTATTAAATTTGGGGATTGACTTTTTCGCCCCGACGCGCCCCGATTTCTACGCGCCTCGATAAAGAGAGAGAGAGCTAGTTATTTATTTAATTATTATTAAATATTAAATTATTATTTATTTTATACAAACATATTAAAGTGTACTATAATTAAATCAATTAATAATTTACTAATTATAATTGTAATCACATATTAATAGCTCTCTCTCCCAATTTTGTGGTCATGAATGGTACATACTCCTGTATGGTAGCTATTAGGTACACACTAATATGTTTGTATAAAATAAATAATAATTTAATATTTAATAATAATTAAATAAATAACTAGCTCTCTCTCTCTCTCTCTCTCTCTCTCTCTCTCTCTCTCTTAATCGGGGCGGGTCGGGGCGAAAAAGTCAATCCCTTAAATTTGGGCGAGTACACCAGTTTGGTTTTATTTTGGCAATATAAATTACATGACTTACTATTAGTATGCATGCAATTAGGGATGACACTGTTAGTGAAATGCCGGGGCGGCAGAGGTGGGGGCATCGACCTGACACTACTCACCCAATGTCTGGGTGCGGGCGAGGGTTGGGACTCGTAGTAACTGAACTCAGAGGTGGAGGTGACGGTCGGTTTAGGTGTTGTCGTTGTAATGGAAATGTTCGTTGGTTTTGTCAGTATAGCCAGAGGGTTGATATATACAGTGCGAGTCGGCGTCATCCATCATGGTTGGCGGGTCATCCAGGTCAGTGTTGATTAATAGACTGTGTTCTGTCGTTTTTATAAAAATAAAATCATAATTAAAATTGATAAAATAATGATTTGGTTTCATATCAACCATAAGTAATATTTTAGATGTAAGTTTTATTATATTAAAAGTTTTTGTTTTAATGTACAGTTTATGAATAACTAATTTAATCGATAAATGTATTTTGTGGTTAAATACTGTTTAATTATTTATTTTAGCATGTTTAATTATTCAATAAATAGTTTAGTAATTTTAAACTAATTTTAAAAATTATCTTGTTGCGTGTTATCCATAAATAATATATTGTATAAAATAATATTTTTTGATAAACTAATATTATACTATTTATTTGATCCAGGCCGACTAAACGACCGGAATGTAGTGAACTGTGGGCTAAATATAAAGAGTTATCGATATTGTGTCAAATGATTCACAATTTGATGACACAGTAGATAGTATTGACACAATTGAGACACCGATTAGGGAGAGAAATATGAGTGAAAAATACGTACCGTATATTAATCGCACACTTAATGAAGACTATTATGGTATACAAAATGGGAAACTAATTTTTAAGTGTTATTTGAATACAATTTTCAAATATATTTAATTAAAGTTAAATAATGTATAATTAAAATTTTTTAATTAATAAAACCATTTCGATATTTCATAATAATTTAAAATGTTTAATTTATTTTATTTATAAAATATATTTAAAATAAAATATAAAGATGTCCAAATCATTCCAATTATTAGTAAATAAAAAATAATTGTAAAAGTCTTTAGTATAATAAATTAGTTTTACAGTTTATTTATTAAAACAAGTATAAATTTGTTTTAAAATATAATTTTAATTTCATAGCATTTTCTAATTATTAGTCTTTCTCTGAGATCTCTTTTCCCAATCTTTGAAAATAATTGAAATAATGGTTTCCATAATCGCGACAATAGGTATGCCTAACCACATGCCCAGAACACCACCGAAATTAGATACCAGTTCTATGAGAGACAT